GCATGTCCTTCCCCATCCCGCATGTCCTTCCCCATCCCGCATGTCCTTCCCCTTTCCGCACTCTCCCTCCCCTTCCTGTACACTCCCTCCCCCTCCCGCACCGTCCCTGCCCTCCTGCACTCTCCCTCCCCTTCCCGCACACTGCCTTCCCTCCCCCTCCCGCACTTTCACTCCTGTCCCGCACCATCCCTCCCCCTCCCGTACACTCCTTCCTCTTTCCGCACTCTTCCCTCCCTTCTCCTCCTGCACTCCTCCCTCCCCCCCCCCCCACCCACCCCCTTCCCCCCCCCCTCCCTACCTCTCCCACAGACTCCCTGTCCTCTGTCTCTGGTAGGTGGTGTCTGAGGTTCTTGAGAAGATTTGTAGCTTGGTTTGTGGATGCTGTGGGTGGTTCGCTCACCGAGCTGGTTCATTAGTTTGCAGACGTTTTGTTACCCTGCTGGGTAACATCATCAGTGCAGCCTCCAATGAAGTGCTGCAGAAAATGAAGAATATCCCCACCACGCATTTAGAGATAACAGATACCCAAACAGGAAGATACAATACACCCTGACACACTTGTCACGTTACCATACATCAAGAACGTATCCAAACTGACCACAAGACTCCTATGGCCACTGGGCATCAGAGTTGCACACAAACCTACATCAACTCTATGCCAACTGCTAACAAGAACCAAAGACCCCTCACCCACTACAGACAGAACCAACATAATATACGAGATTCCACGCAAGGACTGCAACATACATTACATTGAACAAACAGGAAGAAAACTGGCTACAAGAATACATGAACACCCAACTAGCAACAGAAAGACACAACCAATACTCACTCGTCTCCATACAAACAGACAAGGAGAATCACAGTTTCGATTGGGACAACGTCAGGATCCGAGGACAGGCCAAACAGAGACAAGCGCGGGAATTTCTAAAGGCCTGGTTCTCCACCAAGAAGGCCATCAATAAACACATAGAACTAGACCCTATATATATACACCACTGCAAAGAAAAGAAAATGAGGTAATCAACTCCAACAGACCCCAGAGTTTAAATACCAGACAGGAAAACACAACAGCACTTCATTGGAAGCTGCACTAATGATGTTACCCAGCAGGATAATGAACCGTCTGTGAACTAACAAACCAGCTCGACGAGCCAACCAACCACAGTAGGTGGTGGTTTCTGCTGGGATCAGCTGAAATGTCTCAGGTTGATTTGCTGCCATAGTGCCCCTTGCTGGTCTTCTCCAGAGTTCCCAATACCGGGTGGGGAAGGATTCTAATACCAACACTTCAGCACAACTGGCGCCTTCTTAGTTAAACAGAAAATGTTTATTACATAGTAATTAAGAGCTAGTTACGTTATATCTGAGACACGTGATTGCCTCTTGTGAGGCGCCACGTTGCAACTTCAGATTAAATTTACATTAGTCCAGCTGAAAGGTATTCACACGATGGACAGTCAGAGAAACACTATATATTATATATATACACATGTGTGCGCGCGCGCACACACACACACACACACACACACACACACACGCGCGCGTGCTCATATACCTGCACACACACGCACATACACACACGCACAGGGAGTGGTTAGCTCCTTCCAGCAACAGTCTGCCATATCCTGAAGGGTGGAACTTATCCTGTGATGTCTGTTAACACTTTCAGGTGCTACAACACAGCCCTCCTGCTCCCTCCCACTTGCTGCTGTCCTCCTCATTACCCATTTTTTAAAGTGCTGTTTCTTTTATCCCCATTTCTGATCAGTGGTTCTGGGTTCAAGCCCCGCTCCGTGCGGCCTGGCCCACATTTGGGTGCAGTCCTATCCAAGATGCTGTTTCTCTGAAAAGCCCCAGCTGGTAAGCGGTTGCTCAGGCTGTTGTTGTGTGTGGGATTTATTTGTGTAAAATGTCTGTAACAATCTGCATTGCAGTTTGCTGCTGCCGCAGAACCACGGAATTATTACAGTGCAGAAGGAGGCCCATTGGCCCGAGGTGCCTGTTCCTATCACCTAGTGTCGGTCTTCTGCCTTTTCCCAAATTCCTGCCCACAATTACTATCCACAAAAAATCCCATGTTCTCTTGGATGCCTCAATCGAACCTACCTCCACCACATTTCCAGGCAGTGCAATCCAGTTCCTAACTACTCACTGTGTGAAATAAGTTACTTCTCTAAGTGTCTTAGTATTTTCGAGCTGTGTTCGGGTACAGAGTCAATATCCCCCTGACTGCACCCCCCTGCCTGGGATCTGACTGATTACTCTCCATGCAGTAGTGGAGGTGATGGCCTAGTGGTATTGTCACTGGACTATTAATCCAGAGACTCAGATAACGTTCTGGACCCGGGTTCAAATCCCGCCATGTCAGATGGAATTTGAAATCAATAAATATCTGGAATTAAGGATCTAATGATGACCATGAATCCATTGTTGATTGTCAGGAAAAAGCCATCTGGTTCACTAATGTCCTTTAGGAAAGGAAATCTGCCATCCTTACCTGGTCTGGCCTACATGTGACTCCAGACCCACAGCAATGTGGTTGACTCTTAACTGCTTTCTGGGCAATGAATGCTGCCTAGCCAGTGAGGGCCTCATCCTGTTAATGAATAAAGAAAAAAAAAAGTCCCATGCTCTAAATGTTGAGTTTTCAAACTACTCCAATTGGAGTGAAGCAATAGATCAAATAGAGTCACAGTGATATAAAGCACTGAAACAGATCCTTTCGTCCAACTCATCCACATTGACCAGATACCCTGAATAAATCTAGTTGCATTTGGCCCATATCCCTCTAAACCCTTCCTGTTCATATACCCATTCAGCTGCCTTTTAAATGTTGTATTTGTACCAACCTCCACCGTCTTCCTCTGGCAGGTCATTCCATACACGCACCACCCTTTGCGTGGAAAAACTTGACCCTTACATCCCTTATAGATATTTCCCCTCTCACCTTTTTGGACTCCCCTATTCTTGGAAAAAGACCTTGGCTATTCACCCTATCCATGCCCCTCATGATTTTATAAGCCTCTATAAGGTCACCCCTCAGCCTCCGATGCTCCAGCGAAAATAGCCCCAGCCTATTCAGCCTCTCCCTATGGCTCAAACCCTCCAATCCCGTCAACATCCTTGTAAATCTTTTCTGCACCCTTCCTAGTTTCACAACATCCGTCCTATAGCAGGGAAACCAGAATTGAACACAGTATTCCACAAGTGGCCTAACTAATGTCCTGTACAGCTGCAACATGACCTCCCAACTCCTGTACTCAATGCACTGACCAATAATGGCAAGTGTACCAAATGTCACCTTCACTATCCTGTCTACCTGCGACTCCATTCACTGCAAATGAATCGAACAAGATAACTTCTGACCTAAAGGTCTGTGGGAGAAGGCTGTGAGGTTTAATGTGTTGATGTGAGGGAGGTATTTTTTATATCACTGTCTGACAAGACCACTTGTAAATGTGAGCTCTAAATTCAGGTAAATCTTGAGCCATTGACAATGACGCTGTGTGAACCTTTCCTTGCTGTTCCGGTGGTGACTTGTTTAATTTTCCATTGTGCCACAGCTGCTTGTGGTGGTTTTCTCACCAAACTCAATGGCACCGTCACAAGCCCGGGCTGGCCCAAGGACTACCCAACCAACAAGAACTGTGTGTGGCAGCTGGTGGCCCCTGCCCAGTACAGGATCTCGCTGCAATTCGAGGTGTTCGAGCTGGAGGGTAATGACGTGAGTAACACCTTGAGTTTCCTAAGGGAAGGTGTTGAGGCTGTCACTCTGACGATTCCCAACAACAGCAGTTTGTGCCCCTGGTACAGTCGGGACCCTCTTCCATAATCCACTCCAGGTACCAACAGCCACAGTGCCGTCATGAGTGGGTCATTCACTGACCCTCCATTAGGGGTGCTGTCTGTGTGGGGAATGGTATTCCTGCCTTTGCTCAGGTCTCCCTCCATATCTTGGCTAGATAAAGGTGAACATCCTGGTCCAAGTGCAGACTGCACCCTCTGGAGTGGAGGACGTCTTTCGGAATGCAATTGTTATCTCCAGCCCGGAAGGTGCCTGCTTATCACAGGATGACTGGAGGTTTTGTAGAGTCACTGTTATATTTTTCTAACTGATGATTGCATGCTCACACACAGTGAGACTGCGTGTTTACAATCATCTCGCATTTTGCATAATTGCTTATATCCATCTGCTCTTCTCCACAGTGTCCTGTATCTGGGGGTGGGGTGGGTGGGGAGATCAGTTAGCTCAGTTGGCAGGATGGCTGGTATGTGGTGCAGAGTGACACCAATAGCGTGCATTCAATTCCTGTATTGGCTGAGGTTACCATGAAAGACTCTCCTCGCCTGAGGCGTGGTGGCCCTCAGGTTAAACCACCACCAGTCATCACTCTCTAATAAGAGAGCAGCCCTATGGCATAGTAAGACTGTGGCAACTTTGCCTTTAACTTTATATTAAAGCTATCGGCAAATCCACCTCTGACAATCATTGAAAATACCACACGCACCCCTCACAACATATTCCAGCATGTGTCCAACACAAATACACGCACACCCCCCACAACCCTCCCAACCCATGTACACTCACTCCGATGCATGTATACTATCCACCACCATTGTGCACATGTGCAAACCCGACCTTGCATATGCGTACACACACACATGCACACATACACACACGTGCATGCACACACACACACAGGCACGCATGCACACATACACACACGCGCTTGCACACACAGACACATACACACACACACAGACACATACACACACATACACATGCACACACACTCACACCGACACACACACACAGACAGACGCAGATACACACACACACAGACACAGACACACACACACACACATACATACACAGACACACACACAAA